AAGTTTTTGATCAGACTATGCCATGAGTGAAGATTAAAAAATGGTCTACAGGATAACAACAACAACAACAACAATCATTTATAGACCGATTATACCTTTCGGTGTGTGGTCTTTTACGAAACGACTAGACTCAAATTCCTCTAACAATTCCTCTCGAAACTTCCCTATCGAGAGCCAGGTCTTGAGTCTCTCTACGCCAATCATACCCTCTAACATCCAAATCACATTTAACCGAATCCAAATAACGTCTACGAGGTCTTCCCCTATTTCTCGGTCCATCTGCATCAGCATACAAAACCTTCTTTGGCAAACTAGACTCATTCATACGTTGGACATGACCAAACCATCTCAATCTAGACTTTCTTGCTACATCATCAACCGACTCAACTGAAGGGCAATCGCACTTTAAACACTGCAGTTGTGCTGCTCTCTGACATTTATAAGTTCAACCCTATGTAAAGACATTGCTTTCCTCTTCTTCTTCATTTACAAGAAGCATGTGGGTTATAGCAGCTTAACTTTGAGATACCAGGTGGCAGCACATCTGCGTGTTCGAAACCCAATACATTGCTTTAAATGGAGTGCGAGCAGAGCGTGGACTCAACATTCAAATAATCTCGAATTCTTTCATTTCTGATACGATTTTCCCATTGATCTCTACGCAATACTCCAGAAATCATTCGCAAAACTTTCATATCAGCCACTTCCAATCCATGAATTAAATTTTGAGAATCGACCCAGCTCTCGCTTCCGTAAAGGATAGTTGGTCTGATAGTTGGTGATAGTTGATATAAGGATAGTCTTCAGGATGGGTGAAAAAAATGTTCAATAAAAAGAACTTTCAATTCTAGAATGACAGCTAAAATCATCTGAGAATGCTATCTCTTTTGGAATATTTGGGTATAAATGTGTCCATTTCGATGATTGTTGGATAACATCAGAAAATTTTGTTCGTCGACGATCTAGATCTTCTCGGCAAAGTGGTTCATACATGCACACTTCGAGTTGTCCTTCATCATTTTTCTGCACCGACGTAACGGATACACCACCTGAAACAGATAATTTTTTATAGTTATGGTCTCCTCTCTTATAACAAACAAAATTGCTATTTACCAATTACAGATTCAGGGAATCGCAGTAAAAATGTGCCTGGCGTACATTTTAAAAGTAATTGTTCAGCTTCCCCTCTTGCAATGAAGCCAATTATAAGTCCTGCTTGCCACTGATTACGAAGGTGGTTTTGAATCAATTTCATGATGCCATGAAACCACGCGTAAAACGTGAATTCTTGATCCGGTAATGGACTCTGACATAGTTGTGAAAATGAAATCAAATCATCTTCAGGGTTCGTAAGTGGGTTGGGGTTGAGTTTTTTGTCTAAAGGGTTGAAAATAAGAGTTGGAATTATTTCATTAGAATTAAAACAAAATAAAAGATTCGAATAATTCGGAAAAATACTCACGTAAATAATCGAAATGCTCTTTAGTCAGAGAGAGGCCGGTTTGATTCTTGAATCTTGTATTCAAAAGTGATGACAGTTGTGA